GTGCTGGAATACGCTAAAATTTTAGGAATAGACTCGAAACCATCTTCTCTGCCTTCCGTCAGCTCACCACCTTGGGACTTAAGCTACTCATCTTTCCTTATCGGTTTAACAAATCACGCCAAGTCAACCACAAGCCCAACAGTATTCCAGGGCCTTTTTGAAGAATACAGAGCTCCTGGAAAATGTACTACACCGATGGGTCAAAGTCGAAGGACCACACGTCATTCGCTGTGGTCCAAGCCGATGGGAAAACAGTAATAGCAGGGCATCTACCAAATTATGGATCAGTGTATACGGCAGAGGCGGTTGCAGTATACAACGCGATACTAGCAGCCTCAGAATCTAACGACAAGACGATAATCTGCACAGACAGTATGTCAACTATTGCTAGTATCATGAATATTACTAACAAGGTACCTCTAATCGCTGAAATACGCACCAAACTTATACAAAAAACCTAAGAAATCAAAATTATGTGGATTCCTGGTCACGCGGGAATTATTGGCAACGAATTAGCGGATCTGAAAGCAAAATCCGTAGCAATGGAGCCATTATTTACTTTCAATTATATGGTGGGGAAAGATATCTTCCTACTCGTCAATAACTTCCTTAAAGAACAGAAAACAAATTCTTGGAACAGTKTGCAAAACTATTACTCGAACTTCAATRCAACTGGCATGCAGCCACATATTCCGCCYACCTGCCGAGCAAATGACATTATTGCTTTTACTCGACTTCGAATTGGGCATACCATGGCCACCCACTCGCACCTGCTAAACGGTTCAAATAGACCACGCTGCGAATTCTGCACTTATCCATCGCTTACAGTTAAACATCTTCTCGATGAATGCACTAGGTTTAGTGCAACTAGAAACGCACTATTTGATGAAAAACCCATTTCAAATACGCTCATAGCTTTTTCTGAAGAAAACATTCACAAGGTAGCCGAATTTTTGTACAAAACTGGCCTTAGAAAGTTAATTTAATTCCCTAATTGTAAGTTATCTTAGATCCAAATAACTAACATCAATTATTTTAATAATTGTACTGACAGTAATATTGATGTCATATTTACCTTCTACTGGCTAATATATTAATATTCTAAGACAATATAGTTTTATTAGAGCAGCAAGCCGTAAGCCCTGGCAGCTAGTGCTTCTTACTCTGTAAGATAATAATTGTATTATTATTTTTCATTTAACAAATAAATAAATAAATAACTATTTTGAATATATTTAAAAAATTTAATTTCTTCTTTCGGTACGTAATTTGCAAATATGTGTACAAATATACATAATATAATATAAATATTTTAGAAAATGGAGTATGACGAAAAAATCGAATTAATTAAAGATATTGTGAAATGTATGGATGAAGCCATACAAATTGATTCAGACGATARAGAAGATCTGTTATATAACCTTTGATTTAATTTTGAATTATAAATAAAATGTATTCTTAATTGACAGAAATGATTAATATATGTGATAGAGTGGCCCAAATACCTATAAGGAAAAAGAAACGACAATGGGTTAAAGTAAAATGAAAGAGAATGAGAAAAAAACTCGAACAGAGTTGCGCAACAAAAGTTGCTCGTGTGAATGCAATTGGCAACAGCAAAAGAGAATCGCCCGAGAATCAGCAACAAAAGTTGCTTCGTGTAATAGCCGAGTAAGTAGCTTGAAATGCCGTCTCGTACCACAGAGTTACTGTTTCGCTTTCGGCTTCTCGTATCTTGATGTATGGAACACAATGCTAGCGACAGACTGCAGGAACACGACAGTGAACTGAAAATGGCGTTGTGAATCCTACTACAAGAACGTTTGCGAGGGGGCAGCAACATAACAATGGCCGGCATGTACACAAAACAACGCAGTTGTCCATTCTGCATGTACACAATTTCGTTGTGGCCATACTAATACCTTGCACTTCAATGAAATTTTAATATTTTGTTCAAAGTGAAATTTTTAAGCAAAAAATAAGTAAATAGGTAAATTTGTTTGTTTTAAATTATCAATTGTTATTATAAATGATGTAACAGAGCTATTTTATGCTTTTATTTGTAAAATAACGTTAGGTTTGTTAGAGCTTTGAGTAATTTTACATTTTACATCTTAGTGGCATCACCACTCTACCTCATCTCTCTATCTTCCATTCTACTGTCTACTCTACTGTCGTTGGCAAATATAGGATAAAATTGAAGTTAGCGAGAACGACAACTGTCGGCCTGCCGTCGTGTAGTCGTGCAGCTATCAAAATAGGTCCGTCCATAAGAACGTGTGTATTTTAATATTTGACAGATGTCGTTTGCAGTCTGTCGTGCACATTGTATTCAACACATGAATGTGTTTGTTGACGCATGTACTTTGCTGAACAGAGAAGGGCGCGTATCTTCGCAACAACGTCAAGGCTACGGAAGGCATGCCGTCCATCTATCGCAACATAATCGATCTGGTTTCGAACTTTTCGATCCAGAAAAGCCAAGTGACTTGATAAACTCCTTGTACTAGAATCTAGAACTACAGACAACTATATTTTGGGTCGTTGCGAAGTCGATCAGCCTGAACCCAATTGAGTAGGTTTCACCATGGAGACTGAGTTTTCGAACTGTTGTACCAAATAGGAATTATTTACCCACCCTGGAGGTTTTACTTTTACGAGGACATTAACCAACTGGGTGTCAGCACCTTTCCAATTTAGAGCCCTTTACTTACTTCCAGGTAAATATGTGTCCCAACTCTTAGAACGACGAAGATTTAAGAAATTTTCTACCCCCTTGGGCGACAAGATTTCAGATTAATGACATGAAAATAACAAAATGGGTAGAAATAGTAAAACTATTTGGTACACATTTAAACGTATGAGTCACATGGAATAAATGAAAATGCTTCTGGGTAAAAAAATGTATCACCTGCGCGTAAATTATCAAAAATAAGTGGTACAAATTTTCGGCTAACGCCGTTCAAAGAGTTAAATCAGAGTCCTCATTAGGTTTGCTATGATCGTTATCAAAAGTGGGGACTTTCATCCTAGGCTGTTGTTTCCTTTTCGTGAGGAGTGATTTCTATGTGGAGCATCCCACACCAAGCGGACAACGTAGTTTGGCGAGCACATTTCTATAGCGAGCCGCTTGTTTCAAAACCGACGCCCGACACATTAAAAATGACCGAAAAGACACTTAAAAATCGTATGATCCKGGGAATGTTTAGTATCGCGCCGGTTAAGTATCGTTTATGGAGAWAAACAGGGTTGGGCTATCCCCCCTCCCGACCCCTTATTGGAAAGAGGAGGGATCGAACTTTTTAATAAACCCCCTCTCGACCCCCTAGATCCCCTATGGACCTGTAGGGAGGYCTTTGAAAATGACCAAAAATCAGTGTTTTTGCTCATTTTTCCATACAAACTGAAACCAATGCAACCCAGCCAACATTTTTGTATGGACAAGAAATCAAAATAAAG